CCCGTGGGTTGAGATAAAGGCAGTTTAATAGGATAGCAGAGGAACAGAAAATAATAATAATAAAATGATAAAAGAATATACAAAGCAAGTGATGCACAACGCAGTTGCTCACCACCCGCTGACCGATGCCCAGCCCGTCCCCAAGCAGCGATCGCTGCCCCACAGCCCACTCCCCCCAGTTTCTATACTGCCCGTGACGCCGTATGGTATGGAACAGCCTTTGGGGCAGTTTGGGGCAGCTCTCCCGGCTGTGTCCCCTCCCAGCTTCTTGTGCCCCTGGCAGAGCATGGGAAGCTGAAAAGTCCTTGACTAGTATAAACACTACTTAGCAATAACTAAAACATCGGTGTGTTGTCAACATTATTCTCATACTAAATCCAAAACACACAGCACTGTGCCAGCTGCTCGGAAGAAAATGAGCTAACTCTATCCCAGCTGAAACCAGGACAGATACGAAATGCTAGAATGGGGAACTCTTAACTCTCTGACAGCATGGACCCTCTTTTATTCATGCTGCCTGCTATTAGATGCCTGGACCCTGTTACTGTTTTTCCACTGGGTCAGATTTAGAACTTCATTTTTCAGTTACTCAAAGTCTAAGTTTTGTCTGTGAAGTACAGTCTAGAGATCACTACTTATTTTATGTAGTCGGTTTATTTACATGATAATGCACTAGTGTATAGCTACAGAAATTAATTGAATATTTGCTTTATTTATGCTACTGTGTGCCCGTTTCATTTTTACATGTGCATTTCTGTTAGTTTCTTACAACAAACTATTAAGTAATACATGGAATAATGGACTAATTCTGTAGAAAGCTGGCGCAAAAATTAATTTGCCTGTTTAGAAAATAATTTTAAACATGACCTCAACAATTACTCATTAGGAAACAAATTGTACAGCTGTACAATTATAAGCAGTCTTAAACTGGACATGGTATTTAACTTTGAGTATATCTTAGCTAGTATATTAACTATGGATATTACTATATCTCAAAAGTAAAGGAAGAAGCAGAAAAAGTGGACAAGTTTGAAAAAGAATGCAAACTGGAAGTCAGTATGAAAGAAAAGCAGGTTTGCTCAGTTTTACAATCTAGTATGTACAGCTTGATTTTTGAAATAAATCTTGCAGTTTCTTTAATATTTGAACTCTGTTTTGCTTTTGTGTTTTACTGATGCATCAAATGAAAATAATTTCTTTAAAAGTGCTTGGTTGTTTGTAAAATATTTGTATTTTGGAAGGATGGAAATTAATATTGCAAATGACCTTTTGATGGAATGTTCCTTCTGTGTTATTTATTTGGAATAAAATGTGAATTAGGCTGCTGTATCATAATAAGGGACATCTTAGTGACATGATTTAAAAGCACCATGTAAACACTGAGTACTCTTTCTGTTCTCTGTACGTACATTAGCCCTTATAACAGTGGTTTGTGCAGAAGCATAAAATTAGTAAAGCAGTCGTGACTCATGGTAAAGAAAGGTATAGTTCGTATCTGGTAAGAAGGAGGGTGGGAGGAAGGATTATAATGCATATCAGACCCCAGGCTGGTAAGAGAATTTAGGAATCTGAGATTAGAGTAGTTTTTTTTGTGGTAGTGATGAGGTAGCCATGATGGAAGACTGATTAAGTTGAAGAAATTAATTGTGATAAGAGTTTTTAGTTTGTAAGCAGGACCCTGAGAAGCAGAGCATCCGTCTGTATCTGGGAAGGTCGTGAGCGGTTGGGTTTTTCTGAGGATGGATGTGACATTGCAAAGGGGCGAGGAGTGTTTCTGGGCCTCAGTAAAAAGGACAACAATAACAGTTGGAGCTGCATTTAAGTCAGATTCTGTTAAGTTTAGTCATGTTCCAGTATTGTTACTCTGTTGGAATTCATGTTTTCATTTTGAACTGAAGAGCTTTTTCATCCAGAATAATATGACTTGATCAATATTTGGCTAAGACCGACCACCTTACTTAACTTGAATGACAGCAGTATGTATGCTAATCATACACAGTGCACAAATGAAAATGAGAATCTGTCCTTTTTTCTAGACTTCGTCTTGATATTATTTTAATTTTGTTAGATTTCAGTTCTTACCATACAGAGTGATGAAAAAGATGATATCATAAGAGACATCAAAACTCAGCTGCAGGAATCCAAAAATATTATCACCAACTTAGTAGAAGCAAAAAGTAAGAGTTCTCTCTGCTGTGTTAAAATGTAATTGGTTATAGACATATAGGAAACAGTATCATGATAATTTTACCCTGTTACTTTTGTTAGATTTCAGTTCTTACCATACAGAGTGATGAAAAAGATGATATCATAAGAGACATCAAAACTCAGCTGCAGGAATCCAAAAATATTATCACCAACTTAGTAGAAGCAAAAAGTAAGAGTTCTCTCTGCTGTGTTAAAATGTAATTGGTTATAGACATATAGGAAACAGTATCATGATAATTTTACCCTGTTACTAGTCAGCAGTGTTAGTAGTCAGCAGCAAAATTTTGGGGCCTTGCAGGCTGTATTTTCGTTTGGAACAGAAGCTGCTGATGTGGGATCAGGACTGGTAGTGTGATCTGCGTATGTATAAAATCCAGGCCCTTATTTTATAAAATAACAGAGGTTTTCTCTTTAGGCTTAGGCTACACCTTGGTTTTGTATTGACATGACAGCTTCATTGCAAGGGATTTTTCTTTTACTCTTCAATAAACTCTAATGTGAACATGTTATACTACTGTAAGGTGCCATATACCCTGTCATTCCTTTTCTGTAACAGAACTAAGTTTTACCAGGACGCTGTATAACCCTGCCCCTGTTCTGGAGATTTTTCCTGTTTCAGTTGGACTTGTATAGTAAACATAGGATGATAATAGATAAAAGTGTTTTTCCTGGTTGCTGGATTGAGATGTTTCAAATCAAGTTAGTGAAGCGTTTTCAAAGTATAATATTTGTTCAGTAGTCTATAGATAGTAGCCTTGTTCTGTGTTCAACAAGACATATTTTCACCTCTTTGCCAAATAACCCCCAAAATGTTACAGCTTTTAGATGGAATCTTATTTGCAAATAGGCAAAGGATTGATTGGGATTGGAAATATAACTATTTTTGAAGGGTTCTTTTTTAGACGTGACTCAAGCAGTGAGAGCTTTTGAAGATTGCAAGGGGAAAATACTTTGCTTGAGTCTTGCAAACTTACAGTTAGGTGCTATTGAGGAAACTTTTCAGGACTTCATTTTCAGTATTTTTAAGCTATTTATATTACAAAAGATTTATACTGTATGATGCAAGTACCTTTGTTCTTTAGAACTGAGGCAATATTTCACCCTCCCCTTCCCTGGGGAGTCAGGAGGAAGGTTTTAGTATCATTTTTATGCCAGATACATATAAGTGGCTGCATTTTGTTAAATTTTATAAATATGTAATTTTACATTTTGGTTACTGTTACTTAATAAGCTGAATAATCATCTTGGAGGCTTTTTCCTTAACAATGACATGAATATATTATGTAACTTGATTAAGTTGTAGGAATGTATTTATCTGTAAAATAGAAATGCAAGCATTTTTTAGTAAATATGCTGTTTTTCTTATATGTAAGCATATATCTTTTTTCTTAGGACATGAAGGAGAAATCTTGAAAGAATCCCAGATCAATCAAGAACACTTGAGGGCAGAACTGGAAGAGGCCAAAGTTTCATTGCAAAAAACAGAGGTACAGCGTGCTTATAATTTTCCAGTATAAATAGATTAGATGAGTAATTGCATATATAATTACTGATACTTTAGATGTGGAACAATTGTATCTGTTTGTTGCAAAACTTGTTTAGAAATTACATAATTTTTTGGTAGGTTACGCAAAAAAACTTAGAAACCGAATTGCAGACTGCAGTGAAAGCATTAATTCAGGTCACTGAAGAAAAAGAAGCACAGGTGGAAGAATGTAAAAAAACTAAAGCTTTGAGACTTCTGTTGCCAATTTGAAAAGCTTGCTGCAAAAAGAGCAAAATAGGTAAATTAAACAGTTTAAATTCAAAGAATTATCTTGTAGGTAAAATATTAGATTACTGAGCTACTGGAAATAAAACCTAAAATTCATATGTGATCTGGTGTAATTACATTTTTTTGTAATCACTAACAACTTTTTTAAAGTCCTTCACCTGTCTGATGATTTAAATTATTAGCACTTGAAGACGGTTATACTGTTTGATTTTGTGTGGTTGCAGCTTTTAACTAAGAGAGCAGTAATCGCATTTAGTACTTGACCGTTCTTTATAATGGAACTTTTAGTGAGGAAGATATTATTCTGTATGCGATAACAATACTGTTTAATGCCGATGCCTATTGTTAATGTATTTCAGGTTTTCTGTAGTTTTAAAAATTACGTATTTGTCAAAGAACCTGATAGCAACAAAATTCAACCTTTCTAAAAATGAGAAAAGAGCAGTAAAGATGTATTTCAATACATTATCGCACCTGAGTTTTTCAAGAAATGATGATTTTGGGTGTGTGGCATTAAGGTGTCTTCTAAGTAGTTGCAGTTTATGACAAATCCAAGAACAAAAGGATATGAAGCAGAAATTTGGTTTTTTTGACACACTAGTCTAAATGCAGAGAATTTAGTGTAATTTTTTTCAGTTGTGCTGGTTGATATTGGTCTATAAGAAAGCAAATTTTTCTCCCCTCTCCCCAACTTTCATAATTCTATTTCTAAGAAATACAGGTTTATGTATGTATATATTGGTTTACTTTTGTGTCTGCTGTTCCAAAGTTGTAAAAGTGAAATTTGATTCATGTTGCAGGCAGATGTATCACCTGCCTGTTGAAAGGCAAACGTTCTTACAGTGTTTGTGGTAAGACTTTGTCTTACTGTCCTTTGAGTTTCAAGTGCAGTGCTTTGTACTACATATTTTTTTAATTGCCATTTTCTTAGATTGGAGAAATATGAAGATGAGTCAAAGCTACTTACCTTGGAGCTCAAAAATAAGTCTGCTGAACTGGGTAAGATTTGTAGAAAGAAAGAAAATGAGCTAGATACTAATAAAAATATTTTCTGCTGTTTTTTGAAAATAGACTGTCCCTATTGCTTGGAAAAATGGTTTTGCAGTACCCTGTACCTGTCAGGAATGCTTAAATTTTTGTTTACTCACCTGACTCCCCTTTCTTTGGTAGTCATTGTAGCTGGCAACAGTGAAACAGCAGTGCTGTGCAGCCCTCCAATAGTAAGACCATACATGCATGGATTCTCCTGGAAGTCATTTCGGTTTCTCTTCCAGTTACGAGTGATAGCACTGCAGAGCTGTTTGAGAGGTAGTGTTAGACTGCTGAACAGAAGGTTCCAGGAGTGACTTCTGTAGCTTGTAGCAGAGACAAAACACTTGCATTAAGTTTTCCTGCAGACCACTCTCTCCATGTTGGATGTAGAATCACACTGACAGTGGTTAGCTTTAAATATTGCTTTGATATCCTGTGATTTCTAGGTATGCGCTCCTTAGCCCCCGGAGTAAGATGTCTATCTTTAGCACTGTTTTCCCAGTGTGCAGCATATGTCTCTAGTCCTGATATGATAGATGAGAAATAGAGTCTGATGTCCTTGCATGTGTTGAGGGCACTTAAAGATAAGCATTCAAAAGTTAACTGCTAATGCTTGTCTAGAACAAGGTGAGACGTGACCTGTGAGAATTGCAGAGCACAAATGAGTTTGCTATCCAGTACTTGCAAAAAATACCAGCAATGTGAATGTGCACATAGAAAACATTTTGAAGTTACTAGTAAGTGGTTTCCTTTTTCAGCATATCCATGTGAATATCTTCAGCAGTCCAGATTTTTTTTTCTGGAAAAATGCAGATGCATCGATACTTGGAGGTTACTCCTTTGTAAACATTCTTACAGTCCATGGTTTATTTGAAGCCATGATTGTGGAAAACATAATAGGCTCTGATTTTTATTTAAGACAAATAATTAGTTTATCTTCAGATACGTATTTGCTAATGTCTTTCTGAATCATTTTTTCAACTCTACGTTTAGATTAAGTCATAATATAGGTTATAATTAGCGTTACAATTTCTGAACTTAATCCAACAAGTTTTGAAAATTTGGTACTGCAGAGGGATAAATGCTTTAGACTGCCTGCTAAATGTGTAAAATTATTTCTATTCAATTAATTTTACATTACATGTGCTGTAGAAGAGATGACTAAACTAAAATGTGAGAAAGAAATGCAACTTGAAGAGCTGTCAGAAACACTGGTAAATATTCATTGTATTAGTCTCATGGCATTTACTTTTCATATGAAGTCTCTCTTGCTTTTTAAATATCTTAAATGCCGTATATAAACACTGTCTAATCTGCCTTAATGTTGCTACTAGACTTTCTACCTGTCTTTTAGAGGATTTCAGTGTTTTCTTTGAAGGACTTGATTCTTTCCATTGTTGTTCTTGTTTTGTTCTGCTTTGTTTTGGTTTTCCTTGACAACATTTCTGGTCATTTTCTTCTTCATTCACACCTATTCAAATGCCACTCCCTCTGGACATAAAGATATCCTATTTTTAGTTATGTCTAGTACCCTTTCCTCATTCTGAACCTTTCGGAAAAATACTTTTTTTTTGTGATGAACATATGACATTTAAGGCTGAGGGATCAAGTAATTTTTGACAGCAAAGAGAATTCCTCGAGTGGCTGGCTTTCTTCATAATAATCTTCTAAAAACTAAGGATTGTAAAGGCTTACCTCATTGTGGTGTTTAAAGGATAACCAAGCTTCTGACACCACCCAGAAGAGGCAGTGGAATTTGTGAAAAGGTTACGTGTGACAAAATGAGGAAACTAATAAGCAATTTCACAGGTTTATTACTTCACAAATCTGTTGTGGTTATTTTGCTGTTTGTGGGGTGTTATTTCCGGTGAGGTGTCCTCCATACTGCAGCGTTCAGTATCTAGAAGGCATTGCATAGTGTGTTGGTGCATGTCCCTTTTCAGAGAAGACATTTAAGACCCTGCAGAAAGGTCTTTTGGGTTATAATGCCCTGTTCCATGTATTCCCATTATACTGGGTTTTCTTTTCTTACTGATAGGGAAGTTTCCTGAGGTAATTAGGTCTGATCTCAGTGAGCCCTACTGAACTGTGACACAGGCCCATTTTCTGTTTCAGAAGTCTAAGCTATATGAAGTATGCTTTTAATACAGGATTATTTTAGATATGATCTTGTATTTACAAGTCTAACAAGAAACTGTATCAGCTGAAGTAGGATAGTGTGAAATGAGGTTTGCATTTTACCATGTATGTTTGTTCCTTATATACTGTGCATTGATTTCTAAAGTGAGTTTCATTATGTTCTTAAACAGGGAAAAGTTGAAGCACTTCTAGTGAAGAAGAAGGATCTTGAGGCTACTGTAGAAAATTTGCAGGAGAGAGAAAAAGAAATGAAAAATGCTCTCCAAATCAGAAAGGGTGATAGTAACACGTTTTTCACGTTATCGCTTGTATATAAAAACTTATCACATAGTTCAATGCTCCAGCCAATGCACTGCTCTACTGGTGCCAATGACAGCAGAAGATCCTATGTAGTAGAGGAGCCTGGCTGTTATCTGTGGTCCGTTCCCCTTACGTTCCGACAGCAGCTGTATTAAGGATGTTTGAGGACACATCCCTGTCCGTTGCCTTTGCTATCAGTTTATGGACTTGTTCACGTGTCTCATGTGTTTTTGAACCTCCTCATACTATTTGCCTCCATAACCTTCTGTGATAAGAAATTCCAGAAGTTCATTATGTGCTGTGCTTAAAAACAAATCCCTCTCTCCCTCCTTCCCCTTGCCCCAGTCAACTGCCTGCCAGTGCCTGTGGTATCAGGGTATCGCCACTTATTTGGAGGAAACAGTATTCAAAGCATTTATATATTATAAACTACACTACATTACATTACAGGGCTTGCCTTATCTTGTAATGGCAGCAAATTTCTGACAGAAGAGTTTTGCTTTGTGGTTTGGGATGCATCTAAAATATGTGCTTATTGTATCACATAGTACTGGAATTCTGTGGTGTTTTTTTTTTAATTTGTTTTATTTAGGTGAATGCAAAAGTTTATGATATCTGAAGCAAATGTCTTTATTTAAAATAATGTCCAAGGAAAGCTAATTTTGTCAGTAATTTTGCAGACTAGTTAGTTTGACTTACACATTTAGCATTCGTATCGGAGTTCAGTATCTCACACTACTTCCACATCACAACAGAGAGATGTAAAGACACAGTCTGGCTAATTTATGGCATGTATGTAGTTTTGTTTCATCTTAAAGCTTTGTGTTGTCAGTTCATTTCTGATAGCTTTCATGACTTGTAATTTACATATGTATACTCAAAACACTTTCTTTTTCTTCTGCAGAAAGAAATCCATGACTTGAAAGTACAACTGACCAGTACAGCTGAAAAGGAACGAAATTATTTAAAACAGCTTATGACACTGACTTCTGCAGAAAGAAATCCATGACTTGAAAGTACAACTGACCAGTACAGCTGAAAAGGAACGAAATTATTTAAAACAGCTTATGACACTGAATACAGATCTTGAACGAGAGGCGTATGATCATTTTTGAAAATACAGTATTAGTTCAATTTTTTTGTGTTACCTAGAAGTTACTCTAATATACAATGAAATTATCTATGATTGTTTTCTAATGAAAATTTTGAACCTATGCACACATCTATGTATGACATCTGTTATATACTAGTATATTTATAAATTGCATTTTCTGTATTTATATGTATGTTATTGTTTGATATCTCTGTGACTTAGTTGGGCTAATATGAAGAGAAAGTTTCTGAATTCATTGTTAACCCTGCTGTGAGCTGGATATTGAACTACATCGTCTTCAACAATCATTATATTTATATAAAAGTTGACTCTCATTTTCTTTCCTTCTTCTGTCACTTTTTTTGCATCACTGTAACTTTGCTGCAAAGCTTAAATTTGTAGATACAGGCCTGGACTTTTTTCAGCGTGAACTAACATTTTATAACGGATAAATGTAACTTAAAAGGAAATTTCAAAATACTTGTTCTTATTTCTCTTGACCATTTGCTTTAAATTAGGCTAAAGAATGAACAACAAACAGTGTATATCAACAAGCTTTTATTAGAAAAAGAACAAATAGCACAAGAGAAAAGTGATATGGCTACAGAACTCAAACTGCAAGAAAGTCATGAGGCAAGTTGTAAGCTTCCAGCTGTTTTTAAAGGACAACATTCAATTTAAAATATAAATCATATGGGAAACTACAATGTGACATGGTTCTATAGAGTATATGAACTACTTTTTGTGTTTAAAATGCAAGGGAAGTGCAGTTACCCTTCTGAATAAGGCAGGTCAAGATACTGCTTAAGATGTCTTTGAATTTTTTAAGATGTCACTTTGAATTTTATTCATTTTACTTACATGGGTCTTTATTTAGGGTATTAGAAAAAAAGAAGAAAATACAAAACAGTTAGTTGAAAAGCTGGAAGAAGTAAATGGCCAGCTAAGGCAAGTAAAGCCAAATATTAGTGTACAGTATTATTAAAGGAAGTAGACTTGATTCCTTCAGAGTTAGTCTAAATGTTGTGTTCATATGCTGCTTTCTGTGATTTTTCAGTTAATGTTTTTTTTAGGCTATATAGCTAAACAGAAACTATTTAGTATTGATGTTAGCCATGTAGAAGTTTCTACAAATTAGTGATACCTATTGCTACAGGAACAATTTTTGCCATAGCTTTGTATTACATATAGCTATCCTGTTCTGCATTAACATCTTAGATGTGAAGGAAATGAAAATAGAAGTTAAAAGTTATGGATTAAATATGAAAAGGTGAAACTGGTTAAATGTTACTCTCTGAAGTAGTCTCTGTACCACCAACCCAATAGACAGGCAGCCTTCCCTGTTTCATAGATGCATTATGATACTACAGATTAGAATATATTTGCTCAGGTAAGGGGAACATCTTTCCATGTTTACAAAAAGTATGTACAGGTCAGACATTAACTTACCAGACAGACACTTTACATTATCTTAAGAACATTTTCATTGAACAGCTTATGAAGTTCTTATCAATATTAGCAACTCTTTTCAGAAAATAAAGTATGGATTTATTTAGCAGTAGTGAAAAGAAGTTAAGTAAATATTTACTAATGCTTGTTAATTTGGCATTTAGAAATGAACTGGAGTCTCTGAAGGAGATGGCAAAGAAAGGTGAAGAGATTAAAAGTAAACTGGATGAAAGAGAAGAAAATGTATGCCATATCATGTGTTTTATCATGAAAATACGTAACATAACCTGTAGGACAAAATCTAAATGTAAAACTTCTTTTTTTTTTTTTTTTCCCCCCTGCAAAGCTCTACCTAGGGATGTAATCTTTTACAGAGGCTTTCTTCTTTCAGTGCTGCTACCAGTTGAGACAACATACATACACATGCTGAGCCCTTTTATTTTAAAAGATGAGGACCTTCACTGGGATGTTTACTCTTTACACGGAGGCTTAAAAGTCCAGATTTGTTATATTTCAGGCAAACAGAACGCCCTTTTTTTTATTTCCGTATACCCACTTAGTGATGGATGGGGTATGGATTAGCTTGCAATACGTAATATGAGTTTTATTTTAAATATGTTCAAATATTTTTACTTTCTTACTGTAGTTTCAAAGTACACCTGTTTTTTTAACATCATAATGGATTTCAAAAGTTTATTGTAAAAGTCAAAGATTTACAATTATAATTCCAGGCTAAGAGTATTGAAAATGAAATTTCAAGGAAGGAAAAGCAGTTGAGGATTCTAGAAAATAAGGTATGAAAATTCATGGACTGTAGAGAACTAAATACAAGATTAGTTTTTAAATTGCGAAGTTTTTTTTCCTTCTTTCTAAACTCTGTTGCCACTGAGGAACTGGTTCACTGCTATTAATGTTGATGATATGGGGCTAGCAAAATTCTTGTAGTACTTTATGGTTAAAACTCCAATCACTAACCCGTTAGCATGTGTTTCAGTCCCATTGGAATTAATCGGACTAAAATGCTTGTTTAAGAACATTGACAGTAATCTCTAACACAGTGAGTCATTTTTAGGACTTTATTAATAAATGTTTGAAATATCTCTTTTAGTTGAATAATTTAAAGAAACAGGTGGAAAATAAAACCAAATGCATTGAAGAGTTGCAACAGGAGGTATGTACAGTTCTGTATGTATGTACAGTCACAAAAACATGGTATTTTGTGCTAACTTACTTTTCAACAGTTTTTGTCTGTTGTGATATCTTTAGATGTATCTATGTAATTTGTAACATTTCCTTTCTTGTCCTAACTGAGGAAATTAAGGAGTCACCTTTGGAATTACTCGTTTTGTAAAATTATCCTTACTCTTGAAAAATGCAATTACAGAAACAATATCTTTAATAAACTTTTACTATTTTCATTTAGTACATGGTATCATTGATATACTTGAAATAATGACCTATCTCAGTTACCAGTAGTAGAAACGAATTGTGCATTAGGACAAATTGTTAATAACTGTACTGTAAAAATACATAACTTGTGATATCTGCACATTTTCTGTCAGCAGCATCTTGGTTTTTCTTCCCATTCTGCACCCTCTTTTGTTATTCTCTGTTGTTGCCCTTGAGGAGTCTTTCATAAGGTCGTGAAATAACAGTATTATTTAAGTAGCTGAGCACTCTTTTGTTTGAAGAATTGATGTGGAACCTGAACTGCACAACAAAAAGAGAGTTACTTGCTTGCTGAGGGCTGGAATTTTGAAGAATCTGACCTACTCGATGCAGTTAAATCATTACATAATTCTATTAACTTATTAAAGTATGGTATTTGGTTTACTTTATTTTAACAGAATAAGGTGCTGAAAAAGAAAATTACTGCAGAAAGCAAGAAAACAAGTATTTTTGAAGGGAATGTTCATTTAAATAACTTCATGTACAAGATACTGTTATTTTCTTACAGATTTTATTATGTGCATTAAAAAAACCCCAGATGTTTCTAAAAATAAATTGGAGTAGCTATGCTTTTCTGTCTACTTTTCCTGGTAGTGCGCCATGTTCTAGCCTCGCTGTCTGAATAAGAAACTTTTGTATTAAATAGTTGGATTCCACCCCTCACCCCCCTGTTCTCACAAGTGTTTTAAGTTCTTACCTTGAACAGTTCTGGTCAAGTACCTGTTTCTTTGTAGTACTTCAGCTCTTTTTAAAAAAAAACTAAAAAAAAAACCTTCAAGTCCAGAATTGCATTGCTTTTAGGTTTGGTTTTTTTTTTTCTTTTTCCTTTCTGCAAAGCTTAGCTTTGAGAAATGTTCCGAGAGCCACCATCTCCTCAAGACTTTCACAAAAGTGTAGTTCTACAGCATCTGCTTGAAATGCAGTATTTTTCTGACATTTGCCTTCACAGCATATTTCTTCGGAGCTTTTTTCAGTTAGATTTTTAATAGAAGGTGGTGTGACTCAAATTTTTTTTTAATTTGGTAACTGCTTCTTTGATCATCTGTTATTCTAGTGATTGAATCATTCTGAAAATGCATTGTAGATACCTCCTGGCATGCTAACTTTATGGATAAGTTAGCTCTATGGAACAAATGGAATTTTCTTTTTTTTATAATGAATATCCCTATTAATTACTGTCTCCTTTGGACTGTTTTCTTTTTTCCAGGTTAAGCATAGTTAACCCTATCCTTTATCTAATTGTTTTTAGGAAAGTGAGCTGTCATGTTTGAAAAGCGAACTGTCATCTCTTAAGGAACAACTTAAAGCAGAAATTGAAGAGAAGGTATTTTTTTTATTAAATGTAGCAGTATGGGTGACATGCTTGGCCTGGTCTTATGCACTATAATAATGACAGCTGTGAAGTGCACTTTTGACTCTAGGTCTTCCTCTCACACGCTGTCCAATTTCAAGAGCTTGATGGTCTCTGAAGACATTATGTCTCATTTCTGGTGGTAGTGAATGTTTTGCATTACTCCTTAATTGGTAAGTATGAGGGAAGCAGGGAGAAATTGAAACCCTATGAAGAGCTGTCCAAGCTTGCAGGGATGATGTCAGGAAAGCCAAAGCCAATATGGAGGTAAAACTGACAAGAGAAGGGAAGGGCAACAAGAAATGCTTCTACAGGACCTGCTGCCAAATGTGGCAGGAGTTCTGATGACAGAGGAAGAGGCTGTGGTACTTAATGGGACCTGAAAAGTCTGGAAGAAGGAAGACTTACCCTTGGCAGAGGAGGATCAGGTTAGGGAATTTTTAAACAACCTGGACATACATAAGTCTATGGGATCTGATGGGATACACCCATAAGGGCTGAGGTAGGTGGCCAGTATCATTGCAAAGCCACTCTCGATTATCTTCAAAAGGTCATGGGAACTGGCAGAGGTTCCTGAGGACTTGAAAGCAAATGTCCCTGCTACCTTCAAGAAGGGCAAGAAGGAGGATCTGGTGGAAATGTAGGCTAGTGAGCCTCACCTCCATCCCTGGAAAGGTGATGGAACAAATAATCCTGGAAACCATTTCCAAACATATGAAGGACAAGAAGGTGACTGGGAGTAGTCAGCATAGATTTATATGAAGGGGCAATTGTGCCTGACCGACCTGATTGCCTTCTATGATGAGATGACTGACTTGGCAGAGGAGGGGAGAATGCTGGATGTTGTTTATCTCAGGCTTAGTAAGGCTTCAACACTGTCTCTCGTAACATCCTTATAGGCAAACTGATAGGTGATTGGACAGTAAAGGAGATGTAAAACTGGCTGAACTGCTGGGCTTAAGGGATTGCAATTAGCGTGGCACAAAGTCCAGCTGGAGGCCAGTTGCTGGTGATGTACGGGGTCAATTCTGGGTCCAATGCTGTTTTAACATCTTCATTAGCGACGTAGATGATGGGACAGGGTGCAGCCTCAGTAAGTTTGCAGATGGTACAGAATTGGGAGAAATGGTTGATGCAGCAGGTGGCTGTGCTGTCTTTCAGAGGGATCTGGACAGGCTGGAGACACAGGTGAACAGGAATCCCATGAGGTTTAACAGAGGGAAATGTGAAGTCCTGCACTGGGGAAGCAATAACTTTTAGAACTGGTACAGGTTAGGGGCTGACAGGCTTGAAAGCAGGTTTGCCAGAAAAGCTCTGGGGTTCTGGTGAACAGCAAGTTGAGCACAAGCCAGAAATGTGCTCAGCATCTGAGACTGCATGAGGAAGAACGTTGCCAGCAGGTCGAGGGAGCTGATCCTTTTCCTATACTCAGCACCGGTGAGACCACATTTAGAGGGTTATTTCCAGTTCTGGGCTGCCCAGTACAAGACAGGCAAGGGTATCCTGCAGCAAAAGGCCATGAAGATCATGAAGGGATGGGGGCATCTGACAGAAAAGAGGGACTGAGAGAGCTGGGATAGTTGAGCCTCAAGAGGAGAAAGCTCAGGGGCGTATTATCAGTGTATAAATACCTTATGGGAGGGAGTAAAGGAGATGGAGTGAGACTTCCTCAGTGGTATCTAGTGAAAGAACAAGAGGCAATGGGAACAAAATTAAGTAGAAGAAATACCATTTAAACACAAGAAAAGTTGAAGTTCCATGATAAATTATGTACACTCAACAAAAGACATTGAAATGCTTTTAATTGAAACATTTTTTAGTTTTAGAAAAATACAAACTCATTTTTCTGAGACTCCTAAACCTCATTTAGATCTGGACTATGTATCTATTAATGTAAAAAATAAAATGTCTCCAAATGATATTCCTATAAAAGTCAACATGATGGAAAAGAAAAAAATGCTTCCTTCAATATCTGAAAAAAATCCCTTGGGTAGTCCATCGTTAAAGGTTTGTAACTCATAATAGTGAATTGTTCCTGTTCTATTTTTCCGACTGTATTTCCTACTTCTCTCTAGATGCTTACTTATTTTTTGTTGTGATAAGCAGGGATTTAAAAGGTAGATAGCCACAAAAAAAAAGTATTCCACAGTGATATTAGAAAGCAGTTTATGTAAGGGCTCCCACGTGTGTCATTTTTCTTGCTCAGTTACTCAATTTGTCTGTTACCATTGATCAGTAACGAATCCTGTCCTAGAGGGACCGTGAATTTAATAATGTCTCTGGAATTCTTGTACGTGGTCTTAAAAGAAGAGTGTTGTCTGTTTGTAAAGGCACATTTTTCTCTATGGAACAGAAAATAGCTTGTGTAGCTGTAAAAATTATCAAAGTATTCCTGACTGCTTCATCATAACTGTAAAACCTATGATTCTACCCTGTCAGAAGCTCACGTGATGTTTCCATCTTAACAATAGAAACAACTACCATTTTTGTGTTACCCTTTCTAAAAAAGGATTGCATTGTTCCATTGCAATATTTCTGAGAAGTTTAACTTCTAGTGAAAGAACTATTTAAGTAAACCCAATCTTGTTCTTGATATCACTATCAATGTCTTTCTGAAAGCTTTTTCCTGCAGTTTTATTTGTGGTTTTTTTAAATGTTGGTTATAGTCTGCATGTAGTGACTACAGTTCAGAATAACCTGAATTTCTGCAGATAAGCATGAAGTTAGATAGTGTGCCATAAAATGCAGTTCTTCCACAGCTTCCTGTTCATTCTCCTTGTTTGGCAACAAAAAAAGGAATTTTTTTTTTTCCTTTGTTTGTGTCTTTGCTTCACATTCTGGATAGAAAGATAATTGTTCCACAGCATCTCTCTAGTGTCTTCCTGGATATTCAGTTTGTAAACGGGGTTATGAGTTTGGTTTTAGATTCTATAATTACCACTGAAAGTGTACTTTTTAATGCCATCTTTTTCTTTCCCAGACATATATTATAAAGACTCCTCCAATACATAAACTGCAAAGTGAAAGCACAAATCTGCGTTCAGAACAGTGCACGAGGAAAAAGCAAAAAGTGCTTCTCCGGCTGGATGCTCAGTCAGATAGCTCTGAACACAGTGACCTCCTGGTAAAAATCAGAGAACAGATAGTGTACTTAACAGTTCTTTATGCATACTGCTATATCTAAGAATGTACATAAAGCATGTGGCGTTCTGTATCCAAGACAGTATTTGTGTGTGTATTTTTATTTCATTGGTTCTTTCTGGAATTGTATTCATATGTACGTAATTAGACTATGACAAACAGTACCACTATACAAAAATATATAGTAACTTTTATAATGATTTTTTACCTTGTTTTTATTGACTTGTTGAGGCTTCATAGTAACTGCTTAACTTTTTTTTTTCCATACTCTAAAATTCCTAGGGGGAAAGAAAATACATTTTTTTAATATAGTGTGATTAAGTAACTTTTTTATTTTTAATTTAAGAGCATCATCTCAGAGGAAGAAATGTTTAAAAAATTGTACAAAGATTATCCTCGAGCTTCACAATTATATGCCATGACACCAAAAAAGGTACCTTAGCTTTTCTTCAGATCAAAACAAACAGATAATCAAATTGGCTATAGAAACTAATGGATGGCTTTATTTTTCTTCTTAGAAACCAACTATATCAAATGGGAAATCTCCAGGCTCTGCACTGAAACTTACAACCATGAGAAAAATGCGAGAGGCTGGATGGACTGCAGTTTCTAAAATGGACAGGAAAAGAAAAATTAAAGAAGCTGAAAAGCTCTTTACTTAAAATGAAAAAAATGACTAGTGCCCTAGCATTATTTGATTACTACAACCACAGTATTATTCTTTCAGAGTTAGTACATTGTTGCATTTTTCTGTCATACTCAGTATGTTTAATAGTACTTTCATTGCCTTTATACACATAAACTTTATAGATACATAACTACGTCCACCTGCAGAGCATTTTCTACATTTCATTCCCTATGCTATAAAAAGTTGGGAGACAAATTAGCCCATTTTTAAGTTTAGAAATAAGTATAGCTACATAGGAAGCTGTTGCAAAAAGAAAAAAGAAAAAAGAAAAAAAGTCTGGCATTAGAAATACTGGTTTTAAAGAAATGCAGTTTTGTTCTTCTAAATTTACTCTCTTTTAATACATAATTCACAAAAGGATATTATTTAGTGAAAGAAATACTGAAGCTGTTAAAATGCATGCACTTTTACTTGAAGTCGTCTTGCTTTTTTTGTTCATTTTAAGTGTTGTCAGAAGTGTCTTTTTAGACTTTTGTTTTCAATAGCTACTATTTCAGTATGTTAAAACAGTTTTGAAACTTTTAAAATTGCATTTTCAATAGAATTACTTTGATTTAAAAAGATTTGAGCTTCATAATGAACAAAATATGCACACGTTTTAATATTGTAAAAACAATGTTAAGATGTCATTAAATTGTTTTTCTGAAATGTGAAGTGGGGCCAAATGTTGTTGCTTTATGTATTAGAACACAGATATAAATCACCAGGCAGCCTTCCTAAGGACTAACAGCTTCTGCCATGTACATGTAAGAATAGTTTAGAGTAACATATATTTCTGCGTTAATCCTTGATTAATCTTGGTTTCACAACAACAACAAAAACGTGCTTCAGAGCCTAGAGATAACAAGAAAACTACAGGTACCTCTCAAAATATTATGAAAAATCAAAATCCTGGATTTATCTGAAGGTGGGTAGCAAAACATATGTACTTCATTCTTTTTGTGTAGCAATTTTTGTATAGGCTAGTAGTTTGGGTTCCTTATGCCTTATCTGTTAAGCAGTGACATTAATAATTTTTTTTTTTTTATGTTACTGGCAAGTACTCCCCAAAGATCTGAAAGAATATACTGGGGTTTTCCTCCATATTTGGAAATGGATTCTGTTACGCAAGCAAATTTTCTGAGAAGTTAGAATGACTTTTCTTGCTGGAAAGATACTTCACATGTTTGCGGAATATTGGGGTTTTATAATATATCTGTTTACATAGTGTAAATTAGACCAAACGAAGAACAGAAGCTGTTTATAACACACAAATTCCAGATGTCTGTTCTTTCCAAGAAAGATTATTTTACCATAAGTGAAGTAATCCATTTAAATCTCTCCCAGATACATTAGTTACTTATTTTTTGACTGGATACAGAGAATGTTAATGCAAAGTCAGTTATTGTTAATTTTAGTTCGGGGTGTTACTTACTAGTATCTCTTCAGCTACTTTGCAGGAAAAAGAAAATGCAGTCACTGGAAATGCAACATATATGTGCAGTTTGACATTTATTTTAATAGGGGGTGGTGTTTTATACAAGATCTAAATACCTGCCAAGGTTTGTTACTTCATTTCAAGATGGTGTATTTCTAATGTTGACTGTTGCTGTTGTGGACATCTTCAACAGATATGCAGACTTGACTCCTAAACTAGTTACTGAGCAATCAAAAATAAAAATTCCAATTGTTTCTGAGTATAATGAGACTTCTACTACCTAGTCTTCTCAGCTATGGCTCACACATAGATCCATGAACGATAATTTTGCAATCTTGAAGTTAAGATTCAAAATCCACATCAAACCTAGCCTAGCCACATTCATAGCTTTGCTCATTCCAGAATGTGATATTTGAATGCCTTGCTATAAAAAATAGGATTTAAACGATTTTTTATGGAGATTTTACATGGAAAATAAATCGGTATCTACCAAACATGATTTCCAGTATAGTGGTATATGTACAGTATCTGACATTGTAGGAAAAGAAGTGGCAAGAAACTTAAGCAGTAAGAATTAGAAATGCTAGTTAACTATTGTAAGAGTTTCTGCATGTCACAGTGAGTCTTGTGGTAATTAAAGTGTCTTCAAGGTGCAGAAAAGTCTTTCCACTTGAACAGGTAAAAATTCAAGCCTGTGCTGCCCACATCTAGACTCAAATGGTAAGTAATCAGTTAGGAGCTCGTTATTTTCCAGTACTGTCGTAGCAGGGCTGTGAATCTGTGGTGCATCATGCAATCCTCCTGATGTTATGAGTGTGTCATGTGGTGTATTGTATAAATCATCTACAAAATTGCAAAAATACTGTTAGTGACGCTATAGAAGCTTACAGGAAATGTAATCAACTAGGAAGGATGTAAAATCATTTTTGCCTCATACTATGCCTGTTTCTGTGAATGGACCATATATAGTAAATAAAACTGAAAATATAAATAACTTTGTTAGGCATTAATCCCATTTGTGTAGGAAAAGCAAATTAAAATTAATAAATGTATGTGCTTTGGCTTGTGAATCCTTCAGGTAGCACACAATTCAAAAAAGTAAAAATTGAAAGCTACCAGCAGCAGCTGTTCATAGTAGTCGATATTGACACTTTTATCTGTGGAATTTTATTAAAGTTTTAAAGGCTATATTCCGATATTAACCATGATATTTGTTATTGGCTAGTCCCATTTACTACAAGTAGAGAGAGAGAGAGAGAGATATGCTTTATTTAACAGTATTAGCAAGATGAGCTTATTTCTAAATGCCTTTTTCACAAGGTTTTAAAAAGTATATTAACCTGTGCTGATAAATGTAGTTATCAATTAAACAGAGTATTTCCTTTTTTCACTGCTATTTCCAGTGAAATACGTATCCATGCTACATTTGTTGCATTTCTTTTTACTCTGGGCCTTTACTAATCAATTTTAAGGAGGATGTGGCCTTCAGTGTCTGAGGTATAATCTGTCTTCCAAGCAAGAATAGAATTGATAATGACTGCGGATACCAGTTTATTCTTTCAACAGAGCAGCTGAGGACCTGCAGCTTCCAACAGGAAGTTTGTCGATACCAGGTTACCTTCACTTAAAGCAAGCATTTGGAAATGTTGGTATCTATTATTACTTCCCTTCATAACATTGCTAACACAGTTCTCCAGCTCCTTTTCTGTCAAATACTTCCAGGAGGGTGAGCAGTGCTCTGGCCTTACCACATCTGCCGTCTTCCTGTCATCCTTATTTACCACGTGTGCAGTTTTTTCCTCTAGTACTTTAAATATTTTTCCTTTTTCTCTAAGGCAGATGCTATCACTTTCCTGCTACCACCTCTTCAACTCCCCCATGAACAGAACGGTATGTCCTAGCCCTTCAAACTTTTACATCAAGTTCTCGGTATAGCTCTTCATCTGTGCTGTGGCTTCAACTAAAATAAACAGGTCTGGCCCCAGCGATTCAAGGAAATGCTGCTGTCGTATGTCGTGACATGTACCTGAAGCCTGGGCTGTGTGATTTGGAGTCAGGGCTTCAAGGATGGTAACTGGCATGGTTGCGAAAAGCCGATCGCTTGGTTTCAGCATTTCTGGTGTTGCTCGACTCGCAGCTCTTTTAAATGATAAAAATGTTGGTGGCAGAGCGACAACCAGCTCGAGCCTCGTGGTGTCTGGAGGCCTCCTGTGCGTGGTGAGTGGTGTTACGTGCAACGCGTGCCAGATGCGATGTGGTTATTAAAGCAGAGGAACCGCTCCTGTCCCTTCTGAGCCTTTCTCTATTCCAGCCGAGAGCTGCATTTTGCACCTTGGTTTGATTGACTTTAGCTGAAATACTGGATGCTATAAAACTTACTGTTGTTTTTCCAGATCCACTCTGTGTCTTTGTATGGTCTCTTTTATAAGAAATACATAATCTTTGGCCTGAACAAAGTACTTTCCCATAACGTAACCACAAGTGAAAAGGATTGGAAAATGCATAGCTTGAATTCCATTCGTTATATTCTCTCACTTTTCTTGTTCAGCAGCGACTTTATTTGTCTTTGTTTAATCTGCTCTTTCCTCATTTTCTGAATTGCCTTGGGAACAAATAATAGTTTTCCTTGAATTTACTTACCGGACAACTGAGTAGCCCTGGGTCTACAGATTGTAAAACATATGTATTAAAAAAGATGATTCAATTTAAATACTTATGTTGGCCACATGTTTAATGCATGATCTCAAATTTCTGGTGCAGATAGTTGCTTTTAATTGAGAATTATTTTTTCTATGTGATAAGTAATAACTTTTTAGTACACCTGTCTGTTAAAACAGCCTAAAACAAAAGCAGAAGAGGGGAAAGCCTAAAAAGTTGAATTGAAAATTCAGTTCTGAGAAGACAAATAATGAACACATACCTATTCTAATGCTCGTCTTGGATCTCTCATAAAATATTCAAATGTCAAGTCAGTATCACTTGTCCATCATGGCTTTATTAAGCACAGGAAGTTTCAAAATTATTAGCTTGTTATTTCATTAGTACAGAGTGTTGGGTGTTTACTCAAAAGTTGAATTTCTAAAATGAATTTTCCAACCCCTGTGATTACCCAGTACTTATATTTAAATTCTATACTGGATAAGACTGAGATGCAGCAAGAGACTCATATCTTGTGGTAGCACTGTATAAAGGCAGGCCTTCCCCTAGCAAGTGGTCCAAAAATATATCTCTTTGGTCTGTTTTCTTTGTTGATAAATGCACAGGATATTGTGCAACAGTGTTTTTTATGTACTGTGTCATGAAATGGAATACTCTAGAACTGTGATGAAACTTGATACAATATTACGAGTATTTCAAATCGGACCACAAGGTTATTCGGGCAACTTAAGAAAACGCACATTTTGTATCTTACTTAAAAAAAGAAGAATGTAACCACTGCCAGAGTTTAAAACTACAGTAGAGGCTTAGCATAGGCAAGCAGTTCCAGGTATATTGTAGTTGTCACTCGACGCTACTGATAGTTATTTCCAAATGGTATTTAAAAATTTGTTTTGTTT